GAGCCATTGCTCGCATGTGGGGGCGTGATCTAATTTGAATGCAAATTTTGGGAGGCATTCTACTTCGGATGTTCATTTATTCTGCGTCATAAAAAAGAACTGTGTATTTTTCACATGAAATTGATCATCTGAGTGGAAGAAATGGAAGATAATGGACACTATTCAAATACAGGGCCCTTCGGGGCTGGGGAGGTTGGTCCTAATTGAAAAAGATGAATACGGGAGATAAAATCTTTGTCTGGAAGGAAATTGAGCATGTTCATCCTTCGTGGAGAATTTGAATCATTAGTGTCTGGAGAATACGGTTTACTTTGAACCTACACATGCATGAGTCCGTAAAAGTAATGTTGTAAAGCTTATTTGAGTGTTTAATTTGATCTGTGGAACACAAAAGGAGATATTTTGAACAATGCTCAAGCTGCTTCCATATAATGAAAGGGAAAGCTAGATTTTCAAGCACGATTTTCAATGAATAAAGACAAAAAAAAATGTATTCTGTTCCTGAGTGTAATTAGAGCGCAGACTAGAGGATAGCCCCGGCCTGCCAGTTCCCGCCTCCTTCTTCCCTTATCAACAAACCTTGCTACATTCATTCCAGCTAAAACATTTCTGGAAAAAATGTTCCATGACCGATGTATGAATAATGTTTTTCTCCTAACATTTTGAGAGCATCAAAGATCATAACGTTCTATTAACATTATTGGAGGAATATTTGCTCAGAACCTTTAGAGAACCTTGCCAGAACATTAAAAGTTCTGAGAACGTTCCCTGTTGGGATAGTACTTGTTTTTTTTTGAGTTTGACAACATTGATCCTCATCCACTTATGGAAACTATTATGTGAACATTCTTCATAAAGTCTCATTTTGTTTTCCACAGAAGAAAGAAAGTCAAATGGGTTTGGAATCACCATGAGTAAATGATGACAGAGCTTGTGTGGGTGAATCCCTTTAAAACTTGAGTAATCAGAGAGCATACAGATGATATTGTGAAATTATGGGATTCCCTCAGAGAAAGGCTAAATATGCTTTGATGGATGGCTTCACACTATCAGCACCCCCCTTTTGATCCCCGTCACTGGGTAGGAATTGAGCTGAATATCTTACATGTGGCTCAGGGCAGATCCGACTTAATATGATTATGGATGACCATCTTCCTCTGCCTTGAGAAAAAAAAAAAAAATTTCAGCATTGCTCTTATGTTGTGTTGGCTGATATAAAGTGAGCAGTAGAATTACTGCACCTTTTAATGATGTGAATCTTCATCAAAGTTCACACACTAAAAGCAGGGTTGCCAACTCAGCCCTGGAAAATAACACTCTTAGTTTCTTTAAGTTTCTTGATTCTTTCTTTGTAACACATATGCCATTTGAGTTTTATAGGTCAACCACTGAATACAGGTGACCACGTTGTAAACAAAAACAAAATGCTACAATTACAGTATGCCTACAGCTATGTATGTGTAGCTATAAACAGAATCACTGATTGACTGAATCGAGCACTAAAATGAATTTAATATGCTCCATTACATAGAGTAAAGATGGGGAAAAATGTCATGCGCTACGCACATATGAATTTTGTTTTAACCAATTGTGACTGTACATAATTATTTTTACGAGGTCACAGTTACATATAAACAGATATAGTATAAAATATGTGTATATGTGTGCTGTCAGAGAAGAGGGCCCCGAGCTCGGAATTTGGCCTGAACCCAGAGCACTCACTCCTCCACATTTTTATCCCACACGTTTACTGGAGCGAGGGTGGGACAACCTGTCACTCACATGAGATTGACCAATAGCAAATTACAACCATCCCGCCCTACAATTTTTTTTGTCCGAGAAGTCGTTTCACTCGGATATATGACTAATAGGGATGAAAAGACTATCGCATCTTGCGTTTCATGAAACAAACAGCGATCAGTCCGATTCCCGAACAACTCTTATGAGCCAGCTGTTTTTAATTAAATCGAATAAATAAATAAATACAGCAGGATAGGCTTCAATATTGCTTTTTTTTTTCAATGTCAAGGTTCTTTATTTATTTGTCACATACATGTGATGCAATGTAGTAAAATGGTTTTCCTTAAGTTTATCGTCCCACAATGCAACAATACTAATAACGATAAGTTAAAAACAAATAAACCAATAATATATATGATACAAACATGAATATAAAATAAAATCAATATATGATAATGTCTGCGTCTGTATGTAATGTATTGTGTTTATACGTGGGATAAAAGTTCTACAGACTCATCAAGTGTCCTCATTCAATAACCAGATTGCCTGCGGATAAAAACTCCTCCTCAGTCTCTGTGTATATTTTTATTTACTTTTATCATTTCTTTAAAGTCCCCCTGTGGTGAAAATCAAGCTTTTAATGTTGTTTATGTCTATGTGGTGTTTTTAATATGCTTTAAGAAAAACATGTGCAAATTCGTAAGTCAACAGCATTGCTGAGTGTTTTCTCTTTAAAACTGCAGTGAACCAAAGACAGTCTCAAAAACACGGTTTGAAATCGCTGGTGTTTCTGACATCACAAACTACCTTGTAACCAATCACGTAAACAAGTGGATCTCTGAGATGGTGTGAATGAGTGGAGGCGGGGCGAATTTGCATATTCATAGAACTGCAAATACTAAAGTAGTCAAGGGTGTAGAGTTACATTCAAGCTATTTTAAGGCATGACCATTCTTTTTTCAAGGAAAAAACTTTTAAAGGGGCCATGAACTGAAAGTTAAGAGTTTGTTATACTATAAAAAATACCCTGTAAGTTTGAAAAAAATAAACCTTCCTTGTTATTCCAAAAACTGCTTTTATTAAAAACAAGGCCAGAAAACGACAGGATCTCAAAAGTGGAGACTTGTGACGTCACAGGGCAGCGAAAGACCACCTTTGCAGAAAAATAAACGCCTACGTTTACATCACCGCATCTTTGGCGCCACCCACTGGCGTGTTAATGAATAGTGACACAGGATCAATACCATTACCTTCCCAAGGATCCTAATGCTAGGAAAGTCTTTTTTTTTTTCAACAATATGAATGTCTCAGTAGTGCATTATTTGTCTGTATCCTGTTGCATTTCACTGTGGATTATTTGGTGAATCAGTCGCAATTTCGACGCAGGCTTTGCAAACAGACTTTTACGATATGGATCTGCCAGTAACGCCACAAACTTGTAAGTAACGTTTATTCTACCTGATCTGTGATCAGTGATTTCTGATGTGTAATCAAGTTCAGACAGGTAATCTTTCTCTCAAAATCGTTCAATACACATCAGTAAATCAAGCCAATGACTAAAATATCAACTTCACATCGTTTCTCTTAGTAAGATGAAATTAATCTTATTTAAACTGTGACTAAATTATATACAGAAAGCGATCAAAGGACGCTCCCTTTCCAATCGCCCAAGCTGTCAATCACACAGCGCCAGTTTATCTGGACTCTTGCCAAAACTCGTTATGAAATCAATAACACTGTTACACTGCACAACGAGGCTCTTAATATATTTACATTATGTTTGCATTGTTATTTGGTGAAACCATTCATGAGAGTGCAGAAATTGCATTGCAATCGTGTGATCACTTCATTCAAGCGATCGACAGACTCTGTCATCTGCTCAATGCTCATCACTGCAACCTTGCATGTGATGAAATAGATCTAAATATAATGCTTTAATCAATACTTTTCACGATTTGTTAATCTCGATTAGCCTGGTAATACCAAACTCTGCTACTTCGCTTTGCTTCGTAGACAGAGTCTGGAATGGCATGTCTGGAATGGGGGGCGCTTGTCTGAAGTATAAAATCATTGGTTACCCGTAAGCCAATCACATAACGCAATCACCTCTCTCTCTTAAACATCACCTCCATTCAAAATGTTTAACAAACACTCTTCTTGTTCGGGTTTGCAAATGCCGGGAATATTCTCCACAACAGAGCGAATTGCATCCCGTATCTCCATATCCGCGGTCCTTTTCGATTTCCCTAACCTAAAATACAATCTTAAACTCGGTGCTTTAGCGTCTACGTCACAGCTCTCAGCCCGCACTCTGTTCGTTGATTGGCCGGCTGTTTTCAGGCCGGAGAAAAGCTGAGAGATAGGTTGCTATCTCAGACTGAGTACAGAAGAGAACTGAAATTGAGCGGAAGTACGAAGTCTGACGTAGTCAGGCTAAATCTCGACAGCTGTAATAGAAAAAAACTATGAAAAAGTATTCGAGAGATTTCCACATGTAATGCTGGCTTCATACGCAAACATGTTAGCCAATCACAGGAGAGGGCGTTTACACTGAAGTCTCACAGCAGACACGCCCCTTAAAACAGAGTATTCAAATCAGAGGCTAAAATCAGGGTAGGATAAATACCTTTTATTTCTAAATTATGACAATTTTTGATGTAAACATCATACTAACATTATAAGCGCACCCCAGGATACATTATAAAATAATCCGGTTCATGACCCCTATGTATTTTTGGTGATCAAAGGTAAAGGGGTTAAATGATTGACTACAGGGGGACTTTAATATGTAGGCCAATTGCGCACATGCTTTATGTTACTTTTGTATAAATTATCTCATGATTTGTAAATGGAATTGATTGGAGAAGTGAAGAGATGTCACTGCAAAAATAAAGAGGAAGTTACGTTAGTTAAAGATTATAAGCACACATTCATTTTTTTAAAGGTTACAATTAGGGGTGTAACGATTCATCGATGCATCGATGTATCGATTTATATTCCTATGATCCAACTTCATCGATCTGTGCTCGGCAAATTGGCATTCCGTACGACATATATCGATCTAATATCGTTTTAAAAGGTAATCAATCGATTGTATCGATACTAGGAAATAACGTATTAGATTTAAGCACGTCAGACTTTATATGGACGTTTTTTCTTAGCACTTTTAATGATAAAGGCGTTAAACATTACTCGATTTAGTCTGCCTATATGTGACGTCATCGCCACGCGCCAGCAGCGGCGCAAAGTCAAAACATAGCATGGCGGAATACATAGGAGATGCCGACGAGCGAGAAATCATCAAGCCTCCATTGCGGTCCAGTGTGTGGAAACACTTTGGATTTTGCAAAGACGGCGATGTTTTAAATAAGTCGCTCGCTGTTTGTAGAATATGCAAAGGTCAAGTAAAGTACAACGGCAACACGACAAATCTCTCTAGCCACCTACTAAGGCGCCATGGGATTTCACACAACACCGACCGTCCAGGCACCTCTTGCAGCGTTCCCGCTACTGCAGCCGCAGCGCAAGGTAAAGTCAACTCTGCAGAAGCCTCAGGCCTCGCCTGCATGTTTAGTCAGAGACTAGGCCAAAACTCAGCTCGGGCGAAAAACATCACGGCAACAATTGCCAAGTTTATCTGCAAAGATTTGCGACCGTACAGTGTGGTTGAAAATCCGGGGTTCCGTGAAATGATTCTAACATTGGAGCCAAGGTACACGATACCAAGCCGACCACACTTCTCAGAAAAAGTTATTCCTGCATTGTACGAAAGTACTAAGAATGACGTGAAGCTGTCGCTTTCTCAAGCTGAACGAGTAGCCATAACGACGGATGGCTGGACGTCATGCTCAAATCAAGGGTATGTGACAATTACCTCTCATCACATTGATCCGGAGTGGAAAATGAAGACCTTTGTTCTGCAAACCAGAGTTTTAAATGAAGCCCATACTGGTAAAAATATTGGCGCGTTACTGCGTGAAGCCTGCATGGAGTGGGAAATCTCAGACAAGAATCCTGCCATCGTCACAGATAATGCCAGGAACATGATTGTGGCCGGTGCAGAAGCCCAGTTCAGTCCACACATTACCTGCTTCGCACATACACTCAACCTCACCTCGCAGAAGGGTTTGGAGGTGGAGCGTGTTTCCAGGTTGTTGGGGAAGGTGCGAAAAATTGTTGGATATTTTCACCGCAGCACGATTGCATGTCACGCCCTACAGGAAAAACAAACTCTGATGGATTTACCAAAACATAAACTGATCCAAGACATAATCACCAGATGGAACAGTTCCTTCGAAATGCTTGAACGTTTTTTGGAACAACAGCAAGCTATAATGGCAACTCTGATGTCCAAGGATCTACGAAAAAAGGGGGTCACAGATGTAGGCACGCTGAGTGAGAGTGATATTGCCAACATGGAAGACATTGTTCAGTTGATGGGTCCTGTCAAAATGGCAACTACTGTTATGTGTGAAGAAGACCAGCCAACTCTCTCTGTAATTGCTCCACTTCAAGCAAAACTGCTGAAACACCTTCAGCCATGTGAAGACGACTCAACCCTGGTTGCAGAGATCAAGAGGGTGATGGCCAATGACCTCTCCACACGCTACAGTGGCACCCAAGATGCTCTCAACATGGGTAATTAATTTGGAGCCTTAATTAAAATCAACCAGGTTACTATTTAAGGTTATTAATTTGTAAAATGCCACACCTTTACTATTTCAAGTTTGAATTTGAGTTGAGTTTTTTTCATATGGAAAAGTAAACAAGATATCTGCTATAAAATTCTTAGTTTTTGGTGGCTTAACATCACTGTACCACATTTCTTTTAAACATACTAAGTTTAATCTTCTGCTTATTTTATGTATGAGGAGGTGGTCATCACTTGCAACGTCAGGTCGGCTTAATTTAATAATGCAATGAATGCAATATTCTTGTTCTTTACACAGCATCAGCGTTGGACCCATGATTTAAAGAACTGCCCTACCTGGAAAAAGAGGACAGAGAACAGGTCTACGCAAAACTGTTTTTTGAGGCAGACCAGGTTACTCTCCTCTCCTCTCTCATCTCCTCCCCTCCTCTTTTCTCTTCTCCCCTTTCATTTATCCTCTCTCAAATCTCATCTGTTCTTATCTTCCTCTAAATTTCTATGTGTTTAGTCTTACAGAGCAGAAATTTGAACAATTCACACATTCTTACATCAATAGATGCAAGCAATGGGAAATCAGGAGGAAGATGAGGGAAGCTCAAGCACAAAGCTGTCAGGATTCAATGAAGAGACCACAGGTGTGTTTCATGTGATGCCAACAAAAGATTGTTGTTTTGTATTAATGAGAGACATGACTATATTTTGAAATACATTTATTATATTGTAGCTCCAAATGAGTCACCTCCTTGTAAAAAGAAAGCCTTAGATGCACTGTTTGGCGATTCCTTCACCCAAAGAGAAAGAAAATCCACAAGCGAGACAGCCAGAGCAGAGGTGATAAGCTACCGAGCAAAAGATGCGTTGCCTTTGACTGAAAATGCCATGAAGTGGTGGAGATCTCAGGAGAAAGAGCTACCTGTACTTTCAACCCTTGCTAAACGGTACCTGTGCATTCCAGGCACCAGTGTGCCAGCAGAGCGAGTTTTTAGTACTGCTGGCGACATAGTGAATGCACAGAGAAGTGCTCTGCGGCCAGATCATGTTGATCAATTGATATTTTTGAAAAAAAATCTTTAGTCATTGAAGAGTAGTTGGTTACACTTGATCTTTTGTTAAATATTGTTTGTTTATTAAAATGAGAGTAGTAGCAGGTTCAGCCACTGCTAATTCAACCTGAAGAAATTTTGGTTGCACTTTATTTTTTATATTAATATTGCAATATTTTTGTTAAAAAACAAAAGCAGAAGTAGCAGGTAAACCTACTGTTGAAATGTTGGTTGCACTTACTGTACTTTTATTCAAAACGTTTTGAATAGTGAAAATGAGAGCAGAAAAGTTTAAACTTTTGTGTCAAATTCAATCTAAAGTGTTGGTTGCACTTCAAATAAAATGTGAATGCATTTGCCATTAATTTTTGTTGTCTTGTTTGTTTATATCCATAATTAATTTATACCTTACAAGAAACAACAGGAATCTAGAAAACTTTACCTGCACTGACCAGTATCCAGGTATTTATTTCAGTCACACTGGTTGCATTTTTGGCTAAAAAGTTACTGAATCGATTTCAAGTCACTGAATCGTTTCGGATCGTATCGTTCTAAATGAACCAATATCGTCCTTGAATCGTATCGACAACCACGTATCGTGATACGAATCGAATCGTTGTTAAAACGAATCGTTACACCCCTAGTTACAATCTATTTTGATGGTCCAGTTTAGACTTTCTACTTACTTTGCAACTACATGTCAACTAACTGTCATTAGTAGTAGACTAAGGTTAGAGTTAGATTATTAGGTTTAGCAGAATACGTTGCCATGTAGTTGCAAAGTTTCTTGTAGTCAGTACGATGTCTGTTGGGGATTATCAAAATAAAGAGTTAACAGATATTAAGCAGACAGTCTCCTAATACTCTAATGAGAGTTAGTTGACATGTACTGTAGGTGCAAATTTACTTGTAGTTAGTAGAATGTCTAAAGTGGACCATCAAAATAAAGTGTTACCAGATAAATCATTTGTAATAAATACAAATAATTAAATTTCAGGGTTAGTAACCCTGTTAAATGCGTGCTTAATCATATAAGCAACATGCAATAAAACAGTTTTTCATGTAATTATTTTGCCTGTATTTTTCCAAATATTAGAAGTAAAAAACCGAGAGAGCAAATAGGGCAAAAAATTAGTGCAATCATATGTTTGCTCTTTCTCTCTCACTTTCTATAACTCTCGCCCACTCATGTTCTCTTTCTTCATCCTCCACCTCCTCTTTCTGTCTGCTTTTCTCAATAAGGCTGCTGAAGGCTTGTCAGCAGGCCTCCATGTTTTTCCATCGTTCAGCTCTAGGGCTTGACACATCACAATGATAAGGAAGCAGTAGGGATACATTAATGCAAAGATGATGTCACATCTCTTTTAATTAACCCAGTGTGAGCTGATGCCCAGCTGCCTGATTCCCACAGGGGAGGAACTTGACATAGCAGGCCACTTCCCTCCTATTGCTTTTATTTTTGAGAAGTCCCGACATTCAGAGAAACATCACATTTACAGATGGCTACTCCTTACTTTAACAATCACAACGCCTAAATGTATAAGTCTAGGTAAAATATGCCAAAATCTGACTGAACCAGATAAGTATAACAGCTAAATCACTTCCTTCTTGTGAACACAAATGTGTATTTACAGCCTTTTTTTTCAGGGTTGGTGAATTATTTTATTGTTGTTGTTTAGTTGATTTTATTATTAATGAAGTGGCTGGTTAGTGTTAGTGTGTTAGGTTAGTTGGGTGGCAAGATAGTGAAATTGTTAGCATTAATGTAAGCCAGTGAGATGAGAATTAGAATTAATGTGAGCAAGAATTAATGGTGGCAAAATGGGTTAGAGTTAGGGTCAGTATATGTTAAGACTCATAAGTAAGTGTTAATGTTAGCATTAATGTTATAGAGGAAGTTAGTCCTAATGTCCTCAAAAGTGCTGGCTACTAAATTTAGCATAATGCTAACAAGGGCATAAAACAGCAATCAAAACTATACAAAGTACAACAGCAGGAAAAAAAAACATAATTATAATTGTAGCCATGGTCAGATCTGCCATTTTCTTAAACTGCTGGTTTTGCATTCTTTTAATTCAGAAACTATGACAAAAGGGTCATTGGAACTGCTGATTAGATTACCGAGTCACTCACAAAGCCTCTCTGTTGTAATTTGCCACACAAAGCAAATGGGGCTTGGATTTGATTGAATTACTGACTGGAATCAGAATCACGTGGAAGAACCCCTCCGAAGGTGACAAGACGAACATTGTCCATTCAGATAAGCGCACACACGTGGAATCCCCCTTTGGGGTTTTTCGCTTACACACACACAGAAGAGAATTGTGAGATTAGACAACTGGCCATTGTAGCCGTTGTTAAACTCATCAAATTCGAAGCACCCACGCTCACACGGGACTGGTCGCGAGTTCACCCCCCCCCCCGTCACCATCGGTCAATGAACTCTGAACATACATACATACGCATGAACACACACGAAATACTCTGAACACATGGGATCAAAAATCCCCTTTTTGTAAATGTATAATGTTTTGTGGTTGTGTTTTCATGATTCCCTGATGACAAAACTGGTATAACTGTAAGCTGTTATGATATGTGACCAATTTAACATCCGTTTTAATCACGAAAATCATGTATCTGCATTTCACTAAGCCCTAGGAATGCCGAATTTGGTATGGTTGTAATCAGAATAATCAAAGAAGATTGAATCATCAACCCAAAATGTAATATGATGCATGCTTTTATTAATACTAGTTTAGAAGTGTGTTTCGAACAAGTTTATCCCCTATGCACATGATCCGTAAGGCGTGAATCACGAGGTCTGACGACCCGCCTTCCTGCAACACGATTGGATCAAACACGTGAGGAAGGCGTGTCCCTCGCTCCTTCAAAATAGACCGCCACCTTATCCTCTGTGCAGTTTCCTACGCCAGAGAGAGATGCCTAAACTTTCCTGCTAAACTCCAGCCGGAGTTTTCCTTCTTCGTCGTTTTTCTACTTTGTTTTAAATCTAAGTTGCTTTCTTTCGATCTACCTCAGTTGATAGTTCGGTTTCATTCAAGAACGAAACAAGTTTAAGATTAATCGCCTCTCGTACGGGCCGCAGCTGAAGCAATCGCAAACATCTGCCTCCTACCGGAAGACGTGCCAGACAACTCCAACCACGCTGCCTTTGTAACACAACTCAACACAAAGGGACCGTGTTTAAATCAAGTAACGTACAAATCTCAATTAAGTGCTGCTTAAAGTTGTCTCGATTAATATTGGAATCCTTTGGGTCTCTGTTGAACTGTTTTGAACTGTCCTTTTCTCTCTCTCTCTCTCTCTCTCTCTCCCTCTCTCTCTCTCTCTCTCTCACCTCCCTCTCACTCTAACTGTCTCCTTTTAAATACGTCATATTGCAATCCTGTATTAATTGTTTGTTTTGATATGCATATTATTTACTCCTGCGTGATTTTTAGTAGTCTATATAACCCTTAGTATTGTGTTATTAAAATTCCATAATCCTTTGAATCGAATCTGTCTCATTGTCCCATGATTGAAGTCTCTGTAATATGTCAAAGATCTGTAAGTTACCAAAGCTCTACCTCGGTTAACTATTGTAAACATCTGAAAGTGCCGTATACGAGCAGATACTTCCGTGTGGCCAGCGGAAAATATTCACTCGGTATACAGGCAGGTAATCTTGTGATATAAGGAAGTTTTCATCTCCGATTTGCAGGACGAACCAGGATGCATGACAAACTAATTTGGAATCACATGTAAATTGACCCTGACAATTAATCTGACTTAACCAAACCAAATATCAATAATTACAACGATCAATCGTGTTAATTATTCATATATGGTAATGTTTAGTCCATTCCCTATTTGGGATAATTTAATTTATGTATGCGATTACATATTCATTATCTAATGAATAATATTCCCCATTTGAGTTAAATAATTTCCC